TCAAGATGGAGGAGTTTTCCCAGTTTGCATAAGGGTTTTTCTGGGATAAAGCAAATTCGTATTTCCCCAGCATTTCTTCCCAAGAGTCAAACTGTAGAGAGTAATTTCAACCAAGACTTAGGACAAAAAACATCAGTAAATTCTCTAAAATGAAATTGCCTTGCCCTGGCTGCCCTGGCTCAGTGGATTGAGCGCTGACCTGCAAACCAAAAGGTCGCTGGTTCGATTCTCCGTCAGGGCACATGCCTGGGTTGTAGGCCAGGTCCCCAGTGGGAGGCGTGTGAGAAGCAACCAATGATGTTCCCCTATATCGTTGTTTCTCTCCCTGCCTTTCTCCCTCTCTTACCCTCTCTCTAAAAATAAAAATAAGTAAAATCTTTAAAAATAAAATAAAATAACCTTGAGAGAAATGGAATCTAGGTTACTGAGCACTGGGGTTGACTCCCAGCTCCACTACTCACCAGCTATGAGAACTCAAAGGAGTAGATTTGCTTTCTAAGGTTTCATTTTTTCACTTACAAAAAAGGGAATAAAAATGGCATGGTGCGATCATATGTTACATAAATTTGAGCCATGCAAATGTGAAAAATTGCAAATCCCCTTAAATCTATTTATTTTTTTTCCCATGAGTTTGCAAAGAGACAAACCGATTTATTTTAACTGAGAAGATATTACCTTTAGGATCAAATCCTCTTAAATTAAAAAAAAAAAAACCTCATCAGGGTTGCATGATTTCATAATTGGTGAGCCAAGTGGGTTGTAGCCTGTGCCTACAACTATTGCCACAGGACAGCATCACTTGAGCTACAAAAGTAAATAACTGCCATCAATGTTCTATCTTGTGAACCAAGCTGTTTATGCTTGTCATAACTTCTGATAACAACATTAATGACTAATGTGCTGTTGTTTTCATATTCAACATTATCAGTTAAAATACTTTCTGTTTCCTAGAATGATATTATCTTAAGAGTTCATTAAGTGGTGGTGTGGGTGCCAAAAACCACTTTCCAAAATCAATAACTTCATAATGGAAGTTAGAGATGATAAGATGCTATGAAAAAGCCCAACTAACTGCCATGACGCGCCAAGCAGTTAACTTAGGAGGGCCTACTCTGTGAAACATCAGAGATGTTAGTGTTTAGTGAATAAAAAATAGCACAAAGGCAAACATATTCTCCAGTGGTTGAAAATTCCTCTCCTGTCCTTTAACAATTGTTCTTCTGGAAAACATACTGTCAAATCATGTAAGTCTTGAATTATTCGATGTCTTAAAGGACATGTCCTTTTCGTAAGGTGTCGTCTCCTCTTAAAGGAAATTATGTAATCTGTGAAAACGTCTCAGCACGGGAGCACCTGACAACTTGGCAGGTAAGTGCTCAGTGGGTGATAATCTTGCTCTTGTGGTTATCAGTCTCCACCCTAAGGGTTTGTAGGGACCAGGCTAGTTCTGACAGTGTGTGGCTCAGGCCAGAAGCCTTCCGGAATCCAGGCAGAACCTGAAGGTACTTATTTTTGAGAAACGTTGGCCGAATGAGTATGAACTGTAAACTTTGGGATCAAAGTTTAAATCCCTGCTGTGGTTTAATAATCAGGTACCTCACAGGAAGTTACCAATGTCCAAAAGGCTACGCAAGACAAAGTTTCAACAGCGGCACCACGTGGCATCAAGGACTAACTGCAATGGACCTTTAATCCCGCTTCAGGGTTTTCTCAGCACAACCTCAACGAAACCCAAGCGTGGAGGGTTGTGTCTTGGGGAGGGGAAGCAAATCCCTGGAACTTTGGCTGTCCCAGGGCAGGACTGCAGAGCAGGAGGGAGGGAGGATGTTAGATGCGTGTGTGTGAGCTCTCTTTCTCAAAAATGACCCATGCAAGTGCCAGAGAAAGCAGAAAAGAGTAAAATTATAGGTAAGAAACTTGACGCTTCACATAACGAATTGTTTCTAATATTCTGATAGAGACAAAAAGTAGCAAGTTGTAGGGGAAAGTTGCTAAGAGTTTCTCTACAAATATGTTAGACTAATATAGTAGATTGGAAAAGTGGCCACAATTATTATGGGGGTTTTTTTCCTCATGCCTTTTTTAGAGTCTTTGAACCTAAGCTGGTCTGATGACTTGCTTTGGCCAATAGAATGAGGCAGAAGTGCTGTCATATTGTCTCTGCTCACTCTCTTAGACCCCTCAGCCTCCAGATGAATGAGGCCAGTCTAGCCTCCTGGAAGAGGAGAGGCCACGGGGAGCTGAACCTGCCAGCTGGTTTCGTCTTAGCCAAGGCCAAAGATAGAGGCTCTACAGGCTCACCAAAGCCGAAACTTATCACACCTTCCAGCTAATCAATCTTCCTGCTAAACCTGCCAGGCCCACACGGACTCAGCAACTTAGGAGCTAAATAAATGTTCATTGTTTTAAACAAACAAACCAAAAAAAGAAAGAAAGAGAAAGTGACACATGCCCTCTTACAAGAAAAGCCTCAGAACAGAAAATTTGCTTCACTTCCAGATTTTCTACTCTTTCCACATGAATAAGAATCTCCTCTTTCCCCCTACCTGGATGTGGTGATTCATTCATTCAATCATTCATTTGCTCAATAGATTTTTTTTTTTTAATGTAAGGCACTATGTGAGGCTTGGTGGGGATATGTGGTTCAGGACATAGGAAAACACAGACCTGATTTACAGCCTGGTTTGGGCAGAAAGGAAACTGTCCTGGCCAAATTAGCCACTGAGTAGTACATTGGAATTCAGACCTGGGATCACTTTACAGCTGTGTGACCTTTGGACAGTTACTTAACCTTTCTGAGGTTTCCTTTCCTTATCTCACATGCAGGGATAATAACTGGCTTTCAGCGGGGGGTGGGGGGGTCAAAAGATTGGCCAAGTACCGTGCCCATGGGTCAGAATCACTTCCCACCCCCTGCCTTTGCTCAGTCACATTTCATCACGTCATGGTCTCCCCCCAGGAGGGGGCAGTTTCCGGAATTTGGGAGGTGCCTTTGCTTTCAACATTTCCCCAACAGGAATTTGGCATCTTTCGGTGCACACTGACATCAGGGGCACTGAGAAGGGCGGGGCATGCAGAGACCCCTGTGCCAATCAAGACTGATGTGAACTTCTGATCTCTCCACACTCCCCCAGCTACAGGTCAAGTCTGGGTAACTCTTGTTTGGTTCTCAGCCTTGGCGAGGACGCTGGGCTGCAAGAGAGGCCTCTGACCCAAGACACGGCATCCTGAGGTATGGCCCACACGGGGAGCCACACGTGGCTGTAGATGATGGGATAGGTGAGCCGCAAATAACCCTCAAATCCAGCCTTCTTTTTTCCCCTCTCAGAGACCCCAGACCTCAACCAGGGCTGCATAAACTCGAAAGAGCACACTGGAAGCTTGGGCCACCTTCCATCTCTCATTGCCAGAAGTTGGCACCCAGCCTAGGCCATAGAGAAGGGAACCAGCCCTGAGGGCCGAGAGCTGCCAGCCCAGCTGCAGTCCCCAGCCAGGTCAGTTACGGCACTGCTGCCATTTCTCCTCATCACCAGGGTATTCTGTGAGAAGGGGGTAGGGAAGCCAGATTCTGCAGGTGGCAGAAGTCCCCTGGAGCAAGGGCAGCAGGGATGTGAACATACATCCCGGTGGTGGTGATGGCCCTAAGGAAAACTCTCACTGCATAGAAACATAATAGGCAGGGCTAGCTTGGTCCAAGGTGAGACCCTATAGGGCAGATGCTTGAGAAGTGGCTGTGGACTGGCAGCCAAACTCCTACTGCCAACTTGAGGATCACGTGCTCCTCTAGGGCTGTTTGTGGTTGTGAACTTGAGCATCTGAGTGTGTGAGCGTTGGGGCAGGGAACAGGCAGTGGGGGGGGAGCGAAGCTGATGGGAACTGTAGCAGGGAGGGCTACACCCAGAAACCAGGGTCAGCATGTTGGGTGGACAATACTGTACCCAGGAGAGGGGAAGGAAGGGAGAGGAGACACAGTGGAGGACGAAGAAAAAGAAAGAAAGAAAGACAGGCGACAGACAAAAAGATGGGATTAGGAGGGAGAAAGAGAAAGAGGGAAATAGAAGGGCTAAGAGCCGGAGCATCAGTGAGTCTGTGAGGATAAGCTAGATTCGAGAAAAACACATTAAGAGGCATCTTCAGAGGTGAAAAGAACACTGTGTGTTAAAAAAAATCTACCTTCCTCTCTGTCTCCTTCATCAAGTTGTAGGTTTTCAAGGAAGGCACTACCTTAAGTCATCTTTATGCCTTTGGTACTTAGCATACTGCAGACATAAAGGTGCTATATTTGTTGGACAAATAAAGAACATATTAAGTAAAAGGCAGGATTATAAGACAGAAGGGCAGAGACAGATAACAGCTCTGAGCTTAGACTTATGAGTCATAGAGATGTGCTTTCGAACCCCAAGTCTACCCTTTTCTAACTGCATGGCCTTGAGCAAGATCTAGTCTTTCTGAGTTGAGAGTTTACCATGCAAAGTTGTTGAGCATGAATGTCTGCAAAGATCTCAGCAGACTGCCTGTGTAAGCTCCCAACAATGTTAGTCACTGTGATTATTTTTGTCACAGACAAATAAGTGAGGTAGAGACAGGCATAAATGGATTGCATGAATAGCCTCCAGTTAATGACTTTGTCCTGCAACTCTGGTGCCTGTCCTCTTGAACTCCAGGTCTGGCCATGCGACTCTCTTGCTTTGGCGGCTGGGACAATGGCAAACTTGATGCCAGTAGAGATGCAGTTTCTGTGAAAGAGACAGCTTGTTTCTGACTCCTTTCTTGGAGTCCTCCATCCTGCCAACTATTACGGATGTAAAACTCAGCCCAGGGAAGATCAGCCAGGTCCAGCCCACATCGGCAAGACCACTCGGCCAACCCCGAGGCTTGGGTGAAATAATAAATGGTGGTTGTTTTAAGCCACGAGTTTGGAGTGACTTGTTATAAGGCAATAGCTAGCTGATACAAGGACATGGTGGCCATCGGCCTTTAAAACTGAAAGGCAAATGAAGTCGTGGTTTGCCAGTTTTTTATTTTGTAGAGTCTAGTGAACTTGAACCAGAGTAAGCTACAAAAAGCAGTTTGGAGAGTCACAGGGAAGGAATGCTAGAAGAAGATCCCTTCGCCAAACTCTGAGGGTGCCCTTCAGGTGGAGGACAGAGGCCACCAGAGGTGGGACATAGCTGGGGACAAGTCCAGGCAGGCAGCAGGGGCTCAGGGGCAGCCTGCAACTGGTAGGGCTTGCCCTAGCCTGGCCCCAGCAGGTCTCAGGTGCTGGGGTCATACACCCGCCCCATGAAGATGGGGAACCTGTGCTGCTGGTCCCAGAGCAGGAAGAGGAAGGGCTGCTGCACTTCGAAGACCAGCAAAGAGCGTGCCACCGAGACAGCCGAGGCCGCAGCCGCCTCCACCCCGGTCTCTGTCAGCTCCAACACCGCTTGATGCCGCATTGCAGAAACCTGGAGGTTGAGGTCCTCTGTCAGTCTGCACAGGTTGAGGTCATAGGAAAAGTCATAGAATTCTAGGGAACAATCAGAGAAAAAACAGAGTCAAAGGCCAGCATGAACCCTCAGCTGTTGAAAACATTTGTCCTGAATTTTCCGAGTTGGTCCCAAGTCCCAGTACTCTCTTCCTCTTCCTTGCTTATCAAAATATGAATCATACCTTCTGGCCCAGCTCCTGGGCTCCTCCGCCAGTGGGCCCATCTTCACTCCAACCACCACTTGAGAGAAAGTGGCGAGAAGCCTTGCCCCCACCCCCAAAAATCCTGAAAAACGATGTCATTGCTTCCTTGTCAGCAAGGACTTGAAGTGAGGTACTACATCAAAAAGGGATAATACGTTATCAAATGTGGTCATATACAAGGGTGCGATGTCATAACTAGGAAACAAGGTTATCTATCAGGGAAGTCAAGTTCTTTAACAGAAAATGAAGTGACGTATCTGCCAGCGAGGTCAAAGTTCAAGGAATGGAGTCTGTGTTCCCTCTCCTAAACTCAGAAGCCTCTAGTCGCCCTGAGTGTTTCTTGCATAATCCATGGTGTGGTTGAGTGTTACGAAATGTCTCGGGGGGAGGAGCATCCACAGCCCACCTTAGTCACCTGTCTCAGTGTCACAGTGAACAATGCAAACAGTCGAGAGAGCTGAAGGCTGGGTTGGTGTTCTGATTCACTTACAATTGGCCCAAGGGACCTTGGCTAAGTCAGAAAACTTTCTGAGTCATTTCCTCAATGATGTAATGAGATAACAGTGCCTGTCCTGCTAATGCAGGGTTGAGGGACAACCTGAGATTATAGATATAAAGAATACTCTAGAAGCTCTAAATGCATTTTAGGGACAGTCCCCACACCCTTTCCTCCTTTGATGGTCTGGAAGCAGCTCCAAGCTTCCAGGGCTCACCCAGGTTCTCCATGATTGTCAGCATGTCCTGGTTGCTCTTGAGTTTGAATCGGGGCAGCGACACAAAAGTGGGCTGGACCTTGGACATCTCTAGCTTCTTCATGATGCCCTTTAAGACAGAGGTGCTGAGAGACTGCTCCATGTCATTGAGACTGTGTTTCATGGTCTGGGGTATCAGGATCACCATACTCAGGTTGTGGGAGAGCTGCAGTTGCCCCACCTGGAGAAAAAGAGATGCATCTTATCAGTCTTCCCACCCTCTGAGTCCCAAGGCTGATCTTCAGTCTGCTGCTCCAGCCTGTACCATTTCAGCAAGCGGCAGCCAGATCTAAGCTTCCAGGCTATGCCATGAAATGGGAATGTCATTTGGGTGAATAGCACTGGCGAGATGCAGAAGAATGAGCTCAAGTTCCTGATCACACAGGCCGAGGATAAGGATGACACCCTGACTCCACCACTGGCGAGCTATGTAATGCAGGCGAGTAATTTGATCCTTCCGAGCCCTGTTCTCTTCCTCTCAAGTGTGTTGTGCATGAAGCACATAACGTGTATAAGGTACCACCAGAGTTACGAGGTCAGTCCTTTTAAAGACTTTTGATGGTTCTGTGGTGCCTGCGAGAGAAAGTATAAATCTCTTAGTGTGACATTCAAGATTTTGTACCAGCTGATCCTAGCTTACCTTTCCAGTTTGCCATTAGAAAGACTTTCACTGATGACCAGATAAAAATATGAGAGAGGGGAAGGACCCAGGGGTCTAATATAGTGGTTCTCAACTCAGGCTGAATTTGCCCCCAATGGACATTCGGCAATGTCTGTGGAAACATTTTGGTTGTCACAGATGGAGGAGGGGGCTCACAGTATTACCAGGATCTAGTGGGTAGAAGCAAGGAATGATGCTAAATCCTACAATGCCCAGGACAGCACCTCATAACAAAGAATTACCCAATCCAAAATGTCCATAGAGCCAAGGCTGAGATTCCGTAGATCAGTAGGAGATAAGAGGCAATCATTAAAAGGGCATTACAGTTGAGGTTGAAAGATGGACAAGAAGAGACTAGATTGCAGAATTCAATTGGGCAATGAAGAAAGGAACTGAAACCAATCAATTTTTGGAATTTGAAAAACTGGCCCAGAAGGAGCAGGATGTAATTGCTACCAACTGAGGAGCATGGACGTGGGGTTCCTTGGTGGAGGCTCCAACTAGGCTATGATCATTTGGGCAGTATGTACCCTTCAAGTCCTGCGTATGGACCTTGAATCTCTGACCAAAAAGTACCATGTTATAGTCTTGACTTGCCAAGCCAGTAGCCTGGGCAGAACTTAACTGGTAAATATAACTCCTTGGCTGGGTGAATATTCTCTGAGTCTCAGGAAGATTTAGAATTAAGTATGGGAATGACAAAATAAACCAACTTCATAGTATTAACATGAGGTGATAAGCTTAGTTAATCTTAAGAGAATCAGACATGCTAGTTTTATGTTTTTAAGCAAAAGGTTATAGGACAATTTTATTAAATTTGAGAATGATGTCAGGATGTTGGGTTAAAGCTGATTTACCTCTCATTTATTTTAAAAATATTTTATTTATTTATTTTTATACATACTCTGGTTGCTCTTCAGATCATATAAATCTTTTGCCTTTTATTTATTTTTACAGAGAGGGGAAGGAAAGGAGAAAGAGAGGGAGGAAAACATCAATCAGTTGCCCATCATATGCTCCCAACTGGGGTTCCTGCTGGCTACCCAGGCATGTGCCCTGACTGGGAATCGAACTGGCAACCTTTTGATTTGTGGGCTGGTGTTCATTCCACTGAGCCACACCAGCCATGGCAAAAAAAAAAAAAAAAAAAAAAAGGTATACTTATAAAGTATGCCCATAATCTCGAAATGTTTATGGGAATATTGGTTAACTATATTTGTAAATGGAACAAATTGTTTAAAGAAGTTTAATCTCTTCGAAGTGGCTTAATTAAAGAATAAATGAAATTGTTTTACATAAAAATTATTATAGATAATTATAAGTAAATTAGCTTAAAGTTAAAAGGCTTAAGTAAGATTTTGAACTGATAACATTAATACATTAAATAAGCCCTGACCAGTGGGGCTTAGTTGGCTGGGTGTCATCCTACAAAGCAAAAGGTCGCTGGTTTAATTCCCGATCAGGGCACATGCCTGGGCTGTAGATTCAGTCCCTGGTCTGGGTGTATATGAGAGGCAACTGATCAATGTTTTTCTCTCACATTGGAGCTTCTCGCCCTCTCTTTCTCCCTCCCTTCTTTTTCTCTAAAAATAAATAAAATCTTTTAAAAATACATTATATAAGTATCTGTTTAAAAGCCAAAAAACTGTAAATATTGTTCTTTGTGCACAAAACTCCTGCTCTGCTGACATCAAAAAGACTTTACATTATCTGCCCTGGTTGGTGCAGCTCAGTGGATTGAGCACTGGCCTGAGAACCAAACGGTTGCTGGTTCAATTCCCAGTCAGGACGCATGCCTGGGTTGCAGGCCAGGTCCCCAGTAGGGTGCATTTGAGAGGCAACCACACACTGATGTTCTCTCCCTCACTTTCTCCCTCTCTTCCTCTTTCTCTAAAAATAAATAAACAAAATATTTATTAAAAAAAAAAAAAAAGAGCTTACATTATCTTGACCAGTGTGGCTCAGTTGGTTGGAGTGTTGCCCTGATACACTAAGGTTGTAGGTTCGATCCCCAGTCAGGGCACATACAAGAAGCAACCAATGAATGCACAAATAGAACAACAAATTGATATCTGTCTGTCTGTCTTTCTATCCCCCCTCTCTCTAAAATAATAAAAAAGAACCATTCTTTAAAAAACAAAAAAAAAGACCTCACATCGATACCTCCCTACCATATATTCTAAGTTAGAGTGATGGCCTGAACATGCCATACATATTCACTTTGCCTTATACATGCTATTCTGGTTTTGTTAAGTAGTTATAAATAGTCAAACTCACTTAATGGGGATGAAAGGGTGGAAAAGTGCATGAATGGTCAAAAGTAACCTCCTCTATAAAGTCTTCCCAGCCAAATTTGCTAGCACACTGCTGAATTCATTCATTTATTCAGCAAACATATCATGAGCATTTATTACATGTGCCAGTGTGCTAGGCACTGTGGATGCTGCAGGAAACAAGACAGGTAAGGTCTCTGTTCCCAAGGGGAGAGAGACAGAGACAATATTGTAGTCAAATAAGCAAATAATATAATTTCAGATAGTGGTAAATATCATGAATATAATAAAACAGTGATGTTACAGGTGAGGAGGGCACTACTTTAAGGAAGGGGAAGGCCCCTCTACCAAGGCCACCTTGGAGCTGACACCCTGGTGAGCAGAAGGAAAGAGTTATGTGAAAATCTGAGTGGAGAAGGGTCCAAGCAGAGGGACAGCTAAGGACAGCTCCCAAGGTGGAAAGAAGCCTGCATGTTCCACGACACACCCCGTACTTCTCAGCCTGGTACTAAGTCACTGATGTCTCCTACTGTTTTCTGTCTCATAGATCTGTGTCTTGCCCTCCTAAAAAGGCAGAACTATGTGATCACTGGGCATGAGACGCTTTACTAACTAGAATCTTCTGGCCTCCATATTGTCTTCCTTCCCTCCCAATCCACTAAAATAATACTGTTCAATTTCTACTAAGGAACTTAAGCCACTAAATACATGTGTACCATACACGTGTGTGCATATACCACACACGAGATATACCTATACATGTGTACACGTACATGCGTGCTGTACCTGCATGCCTGTATCAGATGAACAGAATAGAAACCTGACTCACTTCTTGCCATTTGATGGAGTAGAGATGAATGAAGAGACTTTAGAATGCTGCTTTCCAGCCTAAAATATACAATGTGTGCCTTGGCCAAGGCTGGAGAAGAAAGAGAGAGAAAAGAACAGTGTGAAAGTACAGAGGGAAGGAGTAGAAGTGATTAAGGGTGCACACCCAAACCAATGGGGCCATAGCAGAAAAGAAATCAGGACATACAAGAGGCAATGAAACAGGAGTGAGAAGAGCCAAGAACTGACCTTGGCCTTCAGCATCGGGTCAGTGAAATGGGCCACCGGGTACTTCTTGCTCATCATCATGGGCACTTTTATCACAGAGGATTTTAAGTGAAAGGGCTCCTTCTTGGTTTTTCTGTAATCAAATGTTGTCTTCCACTTAGCTAGAGGAAAGACAGAGGGGGAGAGTTAACTCTAATGCAGGTGGGGAAAGGATGTAGAGCTAAAATCCTTGTTAGCAAGGGCTGGGACAGGTATTGTACAGTGCGATCCAGTCACGGAACTTGGGGCCAAGTGGGCTTTGAAGCCAGGAGGGGAGGAAGGACCTGGTCCAGGGCCCCCTTACCACTTAGGTTGATAGCATTGAGGAAGATCAGGCGGGTGTCGGAGGGTAGGCTGTCTAGCAGCTGCTTGATGTTGTGGTTGGTCTTCTCCGACACCCAGGTGTTGATGAGTTCCAAGTTGGCATCGCTGTCATTTCCCAGGAGTCTGGGGCTGCCATACACGTTCTGAGAGGCTTTCACAAAGGCGTCCTTTATGGCCAGGTCTGTGGCGGGGGAGCAGGTTGAGAGGAGGAGGCATGAGCCCCCTGAATACCACCCCCACCCTTCCAAGAGCAGGTTTTGAGAGGGGGTGTCTTTCCCCTCACTCTTTTGCTCACTTCAGTGGTCACAGCATGTTGGAGCAGGGGTCCAGGCCACTCCTCTAGTAGATGTGGCAATGAGGCCCAAGAAGGCAAACCCTAAACTTGGAGCAGAGCCCCGCCAGCCTCTGCCTGCTGTGTGACCACGGCTCAGCCAGAAAATTCTGAACGTCCGTTTACCTGTGTTTTCCCCGCTTTCTTTTCTTAATTCAAGAGGCAACAGCGTCTGCTTGCTGGCCTCAGCGTAAGTTTATAATAAGACTTCCAGACTTTTGCTCTCTAAAGCCTAGGTCCACTTAAGAAAATAGCACTTGAAAGATAAATTTTTCCTGGATTAATTAACTGATATTGAATGCAGTTGTATTTTCCACCAACCCAGCAAAGCAGAGGATAATGTTGATCTATAGCAAATAAGTAAATGCAAGAGTACTCACATACCTCTGAGCCATATTTTCCCATCTCTAAAAAGAGGGTTTTTTTTTTCACTTTGTTTTTTGGTATTTTTCTCAGTTTCTACTTATTCATTGTAAAAAAAGTCAGGAAAACATTGTTTCCCTTTATTTAAAGAGAGGGTCAGACTAGATCTGTAGTTTTCAAATCTTTTCAAACAGCAAGACTGTGTTTTGAAATAAAGTCATGTCTGAAGCCCGAGATATGAAAGAGCTGTGGCTGAGCCTGGGCGGGGCAGCTCAGGGCCCAGTTGGCCCCACCTCCTTCTCATGGAAAGGCCACCCCACCCGCCACCCACACCCAACTCCTCTCTGCCTCCCTGATCCCTGCTCCCACCATGACTTCTGAAGCAGCTCTGCAGAAACCTAGCGCTCTGTGTTCAACACCCCGAAGAAAACTGCATTCAATCATTTTGGAAGTTTATTGCCCTTATTACCTACTGAACAATCTAACACATGTAAATGACAACAAAGTCATATAATATTAAAAAAGTACAAAGAGTAGGAGGTCCAAGACACCTCTGACCCAGATTGGCAGGCATTTTTTGCCTATTTTATGTCTCTAGCTCTCTAGCCCTACCTATTCATCCACGCTTACTCTAGACGGAATTGATGGATACAAATGACTTGCCCAAAATCTCACGGACAATCTGGAGCCCCCTGCCTGTCTGTTGAGACCCTTACCTGCTCTGCAGTCCATCATCGATGTTCCAGCGCTAACACTCCCTCTGTCCTTTCCCCCCAGTTCTGGGTTCCCCTCAGAATCCCCTCAGGACCCTGCTCAGCAGCTGTCTCCCCTTCCCCACCCCAGAACTCACCTGGGCTGTGGAAGATCTGAGAGGCTGAAGTGAAGCCTTTGGACGTGTAGGCCTTCAGGGCCTCGTGGACGCAGGTAAAGTTCTCGGGGTAGGAAAGGAGAGTCTCCAAGTTTTTCTTGGTGTTGTTCCCAGCCCCTGCAACAAAGGGAGGAGATGAGGGGCAACTGCAGGAGGTGTGGGGAACCCACCATCGGAACCACTTTTGAGGGACCAGGTTGGAATGGGGGAAGGGATCACATAACACCAGAGCTGGAAATATGGTTCCAGGAGACAGTACACATATCAGAAAGAGAGGGGTGGGGGAGTCATGAATAACCACAGTGAGGCTTTTCCAGGGCTCCAAAATCTCTTGCCCAAAATCTCACGGACTATCTGGAGCCCCCTGTATGTCTGCTGAGGCCATACTCTCTTCCCCTATTTTTCTACCTAATATTTATTCCACTCATCAGTCAAAGCCTGGTCCCATCACTGCCTGTTTCACATGAACTATTATTTAGTTGGTTTGGATTTACCAGGGTTCCCCTATAGGCAGGGACACTAGATCACTATTAAGAGGAGACATCAGAGAATCATAAAAGAGAATGGACGTTCAATACCCTGTCAGTTATTCATTATGAAGTATTTATCATACACATTTTCTATGCAGCAACACTTATTTGGTTCCAGACATTATAAGTGCTTTTCCCACATTATCTCATTGAATCACAATAACCCTTTTACATAAGGACAATTATTATCCTTAATGTGCAGATGAGGACACTGAGGTTTAAAAGGTTAAGTGATCTACTCAATTCAAGATCATAGAGTTCATAAGTGGAGGATGGAGACAGGATTCAAGCCGTATCTTTTGGGCAACAGAGAAATTAATTGAAACCAATCAACTGAATTGGCAATGTCTGAAGTTACTTTGGTTGTCATAACTTGGGGGTTGCTACTGGCAAGTAGTGGGTAGAGGTTAGGGATGTGAGGACTCCAGAGGGAAAGTTCTTACATAGTCTCACTTTGTTGTCTCTGGTAGCCTTCCTAGAATTTCCTCGAATGATAGCTCTGTCTCCACTGCTTGGGGCAACTTGCTTGTGTCATTCCCAGGGATTCCTCAGGGACGCAGAGGGATTAACATTTTTTGACTTCCCATCAAGCCAGGCTATCTCCTGGGCTATCTGCTTAATTTTCTGAGGTAAATACCACCACCTCCATTTTATACAAGAGGACTCAGGCTCAGAGATGTTAAGTGACCGGCCCAAGGTCACATAGCTCGAAAGCAGCAGCATCACGATACTACTCTACTTCTCTCTCTTTCAGTTTCATCCCCCTTATCGTCTGAACTTGAACCATGGTTAGTGGCTGGGACCCTGTTTATATGTTCTTGTATAGCCCATAGGGTTTTATAAGTAAGAGTGCCTGTTAAATCATTGTTACATGAAGGAATAAATGAAAGTTCAAGAATAAAAAGATTCCATCTTCCCTCCTCTCAAATGTAGCCCATTTGTATAGCTCCCTCACTGAGGCACAGCTTTGTAGGTATCTGGGTTGGGGACCCTCATGGGAGGGTCCAACATACAACCTGGAGAGAGAACTCAAGTCAGGTTCTTACCAAGCAGGACCTGTGTGAGCAGGCTGGCGATGCTGAAAGGTGAGAAGACCATATTGGTCTCAGGGTTCTTTACTAATGAGAAGGCATGGTAGAGCTTCACGGAGAAATCTATCAAAGAGTCCTCCAACGCGTCCCTTGCTGATGGATTCTCCAAGTCAGGACAGTAAGTGTCAGGCTCCGGGCAGAGGGGCCCAGGGGTGGGCTGGGTAGTTGGGAGGGTAGGTTCAGTGGTTGACTCGGTGAGGGGCTGAGAGGTGCTTTGCAAAGTACTGTTGGCTCTTAGGATTTCTGAGTTGGTTGTTGGCATCGGAGGAGAGGCTGTGGTGTGTTGAATGGATTGTTTCTCGAGGATCTCTTTCTCTAAGATGTTTCTTTCGCCCCTGGTGTCATCAATGGGTTCATTCTTGGGGATTTCTTCCTTTGAGATTTTTCCTTTGCCTTCCTCTGGCAGGCTCTCTGGATCTGCAGGGCTGTGGTTGGTACCATTCAGATTTGAGGAGGTTCGCCCCTGTGGTTCAAGAAACTACATTTCATTTTTCTACGAGGCACAGTCCTCTCAAACACTCGAAACAGGAAGAGAAGGTAGGGATGTGGACAATGTCCTATAGCCAAGGAATTTCTGAAAAGGCCTGGTGGGTAAGCTACGTGACCTGTAGCCACGGTCAAATTCCTTCAGAGTATGTGTCAAGGCAGGATGGGGCGGGGGGGGGGGGCGGGGGGGCGGGGACATTCTCTGCAGAAGATGAGGAAGAGGCAGGACTCTGCTGACCTGTTACTGCTACATAGGAAGCTGTTTCCCAAACTTTGGAGCTGAGTGTTAACAGCCACTTACCGGTGTTCTTGCTATTTAAAAAAGAAAATATCTGGCCCTGACCAGCGTGGCTCAGTTGGTTAGGCCTTGTCCTGCAGAGCAAAAGGTCGCTGGTTTGATTCCTGGTCCGGGCACGTGCCCGGGTTGTGGCTCCATCCCCAGTCGGGATGCTTAGGAGAGGCAACCTATAAATGTTTCTCTTCTTCTCTTTTTTCCCTCCCTCCCCGTCTCAAATAAATAAACAATCTTTAAAAAAAGAAAATATCTGCCTGCCCAGTATAGACATTTGAGCTTGTGGCCTTTGCTTTTAGAACAGGTGGTTTTTCAAATTGTGGGTTGCAACCCATTAATGGGTATTGAAAGTAAGTGGCATTCCAAAAGGAAGGAAGGAAAGTGGGGAGGAAGAAATAGTATAGACCAGTAGCTCTCAATCAGAGACCATCTTGACACCAGAGGATCTGTGACAATGTCTGGAGGCATTTTGGGTTGTCATAAGGGAGAGCAAGGGATGGGGGTAGGGCGGAGGTGCTACTGGAATCTGGTGGGATACAGCCAAACATCCTGTAATACACAGGACAGCCACTCACACTGAGGAATTATCCAGCCCCAAATGCTGCATGTTCTGGGCTGAGAAACCATGTATTATCCCCATTTCGCTGATATAAGAAACTGACGCTGAGTTGTACTAAGTGACTGGCTCAAGCTGGAGGAAGATCTAGGTGTCCGACCTTGGCCTGATTCCAGGTCCCTACATCACCTGCTGAATCTGAAGGGCTCTGTGCGTGCCACCTTCCGCACACATGAACGCACAGGCCCGGGTAAGCATCCACCTTGCTGCTGGGCTCAGCCTTTGCCCCTGACCTCCCAGACCGCTGGGACCTCTCCTTGTGAGTAATGCCCACCCAGTCCCAGCTGTGTCTGCTACCACTTCTCGGTTTTCACAGGCCCAGCCTCGGGAGAACCTGTTTCAGCTGCCAATCCTCCACCCCACAGCTCAGTGTCCACAGTGACATTGGCTTTTATATCGCAAAATGCTGCCCATTTCCTTGTCCTATGAGGTCCTTCTCCTTAATGTTCTACCTGATAAGTCAGGGTAGGTAGGCTCGGAGAAGTGACCTGCTGAAAGGCCACCACGGCTGGTGCCTGGCGGGTCCGGATTCGAACCTGCATCCTTCTGAGTCCCCAGCTCTCTCCAGTCTCTCTACGAAGGGGGCGGCTAGGATCACACTGGCTGGTCCCAAGAGGTCCTCTCCTCATGCTCCGGGGCCTGAGGGGTTAATCCTAAACTCCCTGCGTGCCATGCCTTGAAGGGGCCACTCACCCCAGCCAGCAGCAACAGCAGCAGGAGGGTCAGCGGGGTCAGCCTGGAGGCCATCTGGGAGGCGACGTCAGCCCGGACCTGCGGAGGAGCCGGTTAGCTTCGGAGCCAGCTTCGAGGTCCGGGGCCCAGCCGGGGGCCCGCCTCATTCTCTTCCGGCCCTAGCCCCTCTCAGCAGTGCCCTCAGCCCGCCCTCTCCCGGCCACTTTCTCCCAGGCTCCTCCCTCCGTTTTGTTTTCCCAAAACCGCTCCCCTTTCCCGGCACCGGCTGGCTCGGCCTTCCCCGCTCAGGCCTGGGTCTCCCTCCATCTGTTGCATCCTAGGGGTCCTGCTTCAGCCAAACAATGAGGCCAGAAGCAGGGGGGAGGAGGGGAGGTCCAGAGGGGACTGGGCACAACAGCCCAGGAGGGGCGGGGGGCGGGAGGGTGGAGGCAGAAGCCTCTGGTGGAAGCAAGTCTGTAGAGATTGCAGAGATAAAAGGGGAGCGGGAATCTGGGGAACTGGGGGAGGGAAATAGGGAGATGAGAAGACCCCCCTCACCATTTCCCCTCCCCAGAACCAAACCTGCTCCCAACTCCTGGTCACTGGGCTGCTTCAGTGCAGACTGAGTGGATAGTCCCATGGGGTGAGCGAGGGTGGGGTGTGCGTGTGTGTGTTGGGGGGGTCGGTCTCCGCTATTGGCTGGCCTAGGACACTGCCCAGTTACAAATTAAGGATGATTGATCGGTGATGTGAGTTCCCGTAAATCCTGCTGGGAGGGACCCCTTGGTGGGCTTTGGGGGCTGGACCAGGGATTTAGCCCTAAGTCCCTTGGGAGCTGGGAGTGGGGAAGCTTAGGTGCAGCTCTCAGCTTTTGACAAGAAAGCTTACTCCTCACGTTAGTGGTTCAGGATAAAAACAACACGGGCGGAGGTTGCTCCACAGTTTATGGGCAACTAGGTTTTTCGGAAATTGCTCATCTGAGCTGATCTTTTGAAGTAACCCTTTCGGAATAGACCGCTTTGTGCCCATTTGATCGTTAAGAAACTGAACCTCGGAGCCCTTGGTGTCTGGCCCATGGTCACTCTCACTTGGGGTAAAGCCTGGGCTGGCCCTAAATCTCCTGGAGTCCTAACCTGGCCCCTGCCCTCTGTGCTCTGTAAGTGCCCTTTCTCTTCTCTGAGACCTGGACCTAGTCAGTGGTCCTCCTCTTGTGACATAGTCAAGGAATGCGGGCACCCAGCCCAGCAAGCCTTAAGTAAAAAATGGAGAGCTGGGTGTATGCGTTTGGGGACAGGGAGACACTTGCGGCGGCCTAGGAACCAACAGACGGGGCCGTGAGACCCGGCTTCCCTCTCAGCACCTCCCCTCTCAGGGTTGCCAGATAAAATACAGGAAGCCCAGTTACATTTGAATTTCAGATACACAAACAAAAAAACTTTTTTGAACTATGATCCACGCAATATTGGCACATAATTATACTAAATTTTTTTTTTTTTTTTGTCCTTTACCTGAAATTCAGATCTAACTGGGCATTCTGTATCTTATTTGCTAAATCTGGCAACGATACCTCCTTTGAAAAACAGGCAGTCTCTGATGACCCAATGGAGCTCTAATGTTCTGTGACCGTCTACCGCTGGGCCTGTCCAGGTTGGCACACACCGGAAAGTCGGCTGCTAGCGCCAGAAGTGCTACTCAAAGGGACAGAAGCGAGAGAGATTATTTGGATGTCTCCTTGGAGTTCCTTGGAAAAGACCCATAAACACTGCACCTGCTTTGCTGGAGCTTCACGTCCTGTGGTCACTTGGGAAGCTCCTACACCTGGGGAAGTTCCTTCAGATCAGTGCCAGAAGTAAAATGGAGTCCCTCTAGTCAAGCTGCTGAATTACTAAAGTCAAAAAGTTGAAGCACGAGGAAACAATTCTAGTCTTGTTTTAACTACCCTGAGGACTTAAACCTTTGAATTTACCAGTTCTGTGTCAATGCCTGGTAACACAGCAGACCTCCAAATAGCCCCCTGATTACTCCCTCCGCCCGCCACCGAAGGACTCAGGTATCCAGACCAGCTGACATCCATCAGCCAGACTGCCTGACAGCTGACGAATAACCACCCTGGACCAATCTTAGGGCTAAGAATGCAGGACTGATTATTTTCAAGAATGTTCTTTTTACTATAAGAACGCTTAACTTTTTCTTTTTCTTTTTTGGAACACTTCTGGGTTCTTGCCTACTTGTGTCGCTGGTATGCACACTTGAAGGCCCTTGAATAAATCTTTATTATTTATTTCTAGCCAAAGCCTCCAGACCATTTTTGAATTCATTTGACACGTGGTTGGGGCAGCTGCACACACAATATTCCTTCTCTATCCCAGCGCCTAAGTGAGGGCCTCAAAGGCACATTGAGCTTGTGGGTTCTGAGAAATGGGTCTGCCAAACAAAAAGAAGTTGCTGGAAGACAACCTCACTCAATCTCTCCTTAATGCTCATGACACCTAGGAAGTGGGTGCTAATATTAATCCCACCTTATGGAAAAAAAAATGAGACTCACAGGCATTAAGTGATTCACTCAACACAACTAGTAAGTGATAGAGCCAAAATATGGACCAAGTCTGTTTGATTCTGTATTAACTGTAACAGAGGGGAGCTGTAACCCATCCCACCATTTTTCTAACATTGTTCCTGTAAGTGCTGACTTGAACTAATATGTAGCTTGTAGATAAATATCATGTTTGTGTAAGAATCCTAGGAACTAACTTCAAAAGATACAGGCTCCAACCTTCAGGCATCACAGCTCCGGGAGATTTGCTGACCTTCGTCCGCAGAGCCAGGCTGATGTGGAGTCAGGATGACGCACACTGGACCGTCACTTGCCTCATCAGAATGGACTGTGCTCGTCTGCATCCAGAGAACTTTTCAACCCCCTCCCTTGATCTCTTTGTTCTGTTCCCGTCTCGCTCCTTATAAAAACCCCCACCTCCACCAAGATGTGAAGATGGGCTTTGACACGTGAGTCCCTCATCTCCCAGATGGCTGGCATCTGAAAAGAAACCACCGTCCTTTACCTCGGCCCCTGCCTCCTGAGTATTGGCTTTCCAAGCGGCAGGCAGCCGGACTTGCATTCGGTTACATTAACCTCTATAAATCACTGGCGTACACGGGGGCTGTCCTGAGGCAGGCAGCAGGCTGAGCCTCCTGGGTGCCCTGCTGCAGGAGTCTGAGGCTCTGTGGACCCAAGTCTCAGGGTGGAAAAGGCTCAGTGGAGAGGTTTCCCAGCCTGTGGGTCTACCGCCATCAGCCATCTCAGCTCAGAGGTCGGTGCCATCCCTGCGCTCTGGGCATTTAGAGGGTGTGTCTGCTGTGTGGAGACTCTCCTGCCTAAAGAAGCTGAAGCTGAGGCTCTGCCCGACTGAGACACTAGCACTTTTCCCCAGAAGAATGGCCGGAGGTTGACTTAATTGAGGTGTTTGGAGAATTCCTCCCTGGTGCGGGTGTTCAGCTTAGGGCTGTGCCTTCAGTCCTTCCCAGGTCTCAGGTTTCTCTGGCATGAGAACCCTCCGTGCTGGTGGGTGAGGAGTGATGAGCCCTCAGGGACGTTTTCCCTCATGTTTTCTGTGTACATGGCTTCTCCACTCTGGTGTTGGACGAGGTTCAATGTCTCACTAAAGCTCTTTCTGTACTCAGAACATTTTATCATGTTTTTCTCCTACTTCAGTCCTCAGATACTGAAGGTTCAAGTTGCTGGGGGTGAACGCTTTCTTCTCCTTGAAAGAAAAATTATACAAAACTTGGAAGTAAGGCAGAAGAATCTGGGTCAGTTGATTCTCAGAACACAGAGAATCATTTGAGTGATAATTTTCTCAGTTCTTCCACAGGCAGGACTCAACTAGGACTACTCCAGATGCAGAGAGGTGTTGAGGATTGATGAGAAAGAATGACTTGGGCATTAGCACTCAATCCCCTTTTCAGAACCCCGACTGAGAAATACCATTCTAGGTGATGAAGATTTTCGTTGACTTCTTATTTATGATGGTCAAGGCCCAGAGTCAATCATGGCAGATGTTGACCTACCAAAATGGATAAGATACAAAAAAAATTTTTATTTTTTTGGTGTGGTTGAGATGAGAGTGAAATGGAAACATTTGGAAGAGACAATAACCATAAGTCAAAAGGTTATAGTCTTATTGTCCTATAAGGCAGCAGCCGGTTTTGTAGCTATTTAGCTTTGTTATTCAAGAATTCTCTTTTTCACTGCGCACGCGCGCACGCACACACACACACCAGCTTCTTGCATCATTCTTTGAATCAGCTTTGTCATCCTGATGTTTGTCTCATTAATGTTCTCACCATGTGTTTGTGTAAGGATGTTTCTGCCATTCTGAGAGCTGAGATTTGGCTTTTCCTTTTGAGGGGCTGTGGATGCTTTGCAAATAAAGATGGACCACTGACTGAACCTTGTCTTTTCCTTTTCTTAAAAAAAAGATTTTACTTATTTATTTTTAGACAGAAGGGAAAGGAGGGAGAAAGAGAAGGAGAAGAACATCAATGTGTGGTTGCCTTTTGCACACCCCATACTGGGGACCTGGCCACAACACAGGCATGTGCCTTGACTGAGAATCGAACTGGCAACCCTTTGGTTTGCAGGCCAGCACTCAATCCACTGAGCCACACCAGCCAGGGATGAACCTTGTCTCTTATTTCCTGCAAACATAGCCCTCTCTGGGTGAGGAGGAGACATAGACTTGGTGGCCATGAGTGAAGGGGCGGTGGGTGTTCCTGCTGCCAATGCTCCACTGACATCTTCATTCATTCTCTCTCTCACAAGTCTGTCTCACATGGGCTCTTTCCCACTCAACTTTCCAGGGACCAAGCCTTCCCGGGAACCCATGGGAAGTCTGCATTCATTGGCCCTCTTTGCTAAACACCCTCCTCTCAGATATCAGCACTCCCGTGCCCGTGGCGGCATTATTCACAGTAGCTAAGAGGAGGAAACAACCTAAATGACCACCAACAGATGAATGGGTAAAGAGAATGTGATACGTACGTGGAACTCCTTAGTCTTCAAAAGCAAGGGAATTCTGCGATATGAGACAACCTATTGGACCTTGAGGACATTATGCTAAATGAAATAAGCCAGACACAGAAAGACAAATACTATGTGATTCCACTTATATGAGATACCTAAAATAGTCAAGTTCATAAAATCAGAGATTGCAATGGGGGTTATCAGAGGCTGTAGGGGCATTTATTAATTGACAGACATATGGTTTCAGTTAAATAAAATGAACGAATTCTAGATCTGCTGTACAGTATTGTACCTATAGTCCACAACAATGTACAATTAAAATATCTTAAGAAGATAAATCTCATGTTGTGTTCTCGTCAAAATAAAATAAAATAGTCCCTCTTCTTTTCATCTTCCCTCAGTCTTCTGGTGGAAGATGGGTGGGGACGAGAAACAAAGACAGGAACTAGATCCAAATAATCGTTCAGACACAAACACCCCAGAACCCACTCACACAGTGTATTTGGAGACCCTGGAAGGCCAAGGAATACAAAACTTTTCTGGGTAGACAGAGACATGTGATGAGTCTTTACAGGTGTTTTAAGTGGTCTCATTTCTTTCCTTCTAAGGAAATTTTATATTATTCTGTCAAAGTTATTGCTGCAATATCATATATACGTTTCGTTAAA